TGTAACCTCAGCTACTCAGGAGGCAGAGATCAGGAGGATTGCAATTCAAGGCCATCCCAGGCAAAAAGTTAGTGACACCCCCATCTCAATCAATGAGCTGGGCATGGTGCCTGTTCCTATAGTCCTAGCTACGTGGGAGGCTGAAGGTAGGAAAATCACAGTGCAGGCCTGCCTAGGCAAAAAAAAAAAAATAAGTGAGACCCTGCCTGAAAAAATAACTAAAGCAAAAAAGGGTGGGATGTGGCTCAAGTGGTAGAGTGCCTGCATAACAATTTCAAGGCCCTGAGTTAAGCTTCAAAACTGAAAAACAAAACAAAAAAACCAGAATTCTCTGGCATATTTCAAAATGGTTACTCTTTCGTGTCAGAAGCATGAAGCTTTTTATTCACTGTGAGAACCTAATTGAGTCCCTCATGGTAAAACTCACAAGAATGTTGGAAATACACCATCACAACTAAGTCCCCTTGTAGTTTCTGTCAGGCATGTCTGTACCTAACTTCCAGTAGCTACAGTTGAGGCATGCATACCTTGTCACTGGTTCCATGCAAGAATTTCTGCAGCTGGATTGTAATTTTCTGTACTCATCTTTCTCTCCAGTTTTTGGGGTAGCAGTTTGGCCCTCAGACCTTCCTTCTCTGACAGATCAAGAAGAGTTGTTGATTTTTCCATTGTTTAGCTTGTTAACTTTTATTCTAATGGGTAGCAATTCTAGCAAGCCTTACATGCCAAAGTAGAACCTGGAGGCCTCACATTTTTAACTGGGTCCTTCACCTGCATGCCAAATGGGAAGATATTTGTGTGTTTTATATATCGTCGTATTTCTAAATATGTATGATAACATCATACTAAGGGAAGTCTTTTGTACTTTGTTTTTTACATTTAATAATGCATCCTGTATATTGCATCAAATTGATGAAGCATCCTCTTTTTTTTTCTTGTTTGCATTTGTTAGGCAAATGCTCTACCACTGAGCTACTTAGCCTGCCACCACCACCCACTTGCTAAATTTTTATTTTTGAGAAAGTCTCACTAAAGTTACCCAAGCTGGCCTCAAAACTTGTGATTCTTCGCCTCAACCTCCTAAATATCTGGAATCACAGGTGTACACCACTATGCCAGCTCATTTTTGTTATACCATTTCTCTTTATATCTGTATAGATGGCTGGTATGAGTATATCACAGTTTGTTCAACTGTTTTCCTGTCTATGGCCTTTAGACTGTTTCTAGTGTTTCACAATTTTAAATGGTGCTTTAATGAATGACCTTGTGCGTGTTTTTGTATGACATAGGCATCTTAAAGGTAGATTTCTAAAATTGAGATTATTGGGTCAAAAGCAAAATGCATATGAAGTTTTGTTAGGTATTATTAAATTCCTCTTCAGAATGGTTGTAGTGTTCTCACAATAACATTTTCATATGTTACCCATAAGAAAAGAGTTGTCATACCTTAAATTTTTGCCAATCTATTATGTTGTTTTAATTTGGACTTCTTTAATTATGACTGAAATTGGAACATTTTATACATAATTTTTAAAGGCCATTTGTCTTTTATGGTGAATTGCTTATTTATGTCTTTTGCCTATTTACTGTGTTTTGGTCTTTGTCTTAAAATTTTTAAGAGTTCGTGATATGTTAGGATATTAGTCTGTGGTATATGTTATATATATTTTCTCCTAGTTTATCAGTTGTCTTTTGATTTTATTTACATGCATTTCTCATGTAATTAAAAACTTGTCTCATGTGTTTTTTTGTTTATTTGTCTTTTTGCAGTGTAGGGGTTTGACCTCAGGTCACTTACTAGGCAAGGCACTCTAGCACTTGAGTCACACCCTCAGCCCTTTTTAATTTTTTGATTTTTTCTTTCTATTTTTGGGGAGCACTGGAGTTTGAACTTAGGGCCTCATATTTGCTAGGCAGACACTCTTACCACTTGAACCACTCTGCCAGCCCTTGGTTTATTTTTACTTGGTAGTACTGGAGTTGAACTCAGAGGTACGCTACCATTTCAGCCATGACCCCAGTGCTTTTTGCTTTAATTTTCAAGATAGGGTCTCAGGTTTTTTGTTTGGAGCTGGCCTAGGACTACAATCTTCCTACATCTACCTCATGCATAGCTGGGTTTGCAGGCCTGAGCTACCATACCCACCTTGTTTTTTGAGATGAATCTTGGAAACTTTTTGCCTCGCCTGGCCTCGAACCACAGTTCTCCCTATCTCTATCTCCTGAGTAGCTGGGATTATAGGCATGGATTAAAAAATGCTAGGCTAAAAATTTTTTTAAAGCAAATTTGTCAGTCTTTTGTTGTCTTTTGATTTTGAGTAATAGGGTAGAAGGTCCTTCCCTACACCAATTGAGAAACTTGCCCATGTTTTCTCTTATAGCTTATGTGGTTTCATTTTTCACATCTATATTTCTAGTCCATTTGGAATTTCTTATATATGACATTAAGTGTGAATCTAATTTTATCTTTTCCCACATGACCACCCACTTGTTCCAACACTATTTATTTAAAAAGTCTATATTGGCCTCAGTCATTTGAGAGCCTGCCTTTATCATCTGTACTCTCATCTATTTCTAGGGTTTTTCTATGTGTCAGTCAGAACCACAGTTTTAATTACAGAGGCCTGAGAGTATGTTTTCATGTCTGCTGGAGCTGGTAGTCATTGATTTTCTTTTGTAGTGATTTTTTTCTGGCCACTCTTATTTGTTTTTCCACTTAACTTCAGTATCACCTTGTCTCTTTCAAAAGTTGTTTGTTTTTTTCTTAAGTTGGTATTTTTAATGCCATGTATTAAACATATAAATTAGCTTAGGCAGAACTGACAGTTTTATGTTTAATCATTCTAAGAACACAATTTTCAAGCCACTTTTATGTAGATATATTTAATTTTTCTTTTAGATATTTGAGCAGGTTTTTAAGAAATATTTCTTAAGTACCAAATTTTCTTTATTGCTGTTGTAAAAGAGATTTTTCTCTACCATTGTCTCCTTTAGTGGCTTATTATTTATTTGAAGGCTGATATTTGTATGTTAACTTTATGTTCTTTTTACTGAATGATTTTTACTTTTAAAGGAGTCTGTAAGGTTTTTCAGATAAGTTATGTTTATCTTTATTATATGCAATAGAAATAGTTTCACTATTAAATTGTTAACCATTTTTTGCCTCTAACTGGTTTTTCTTTTTTTGTTACACTGACCAATATCTTTATCACTGTGTTCAACACTAGGATAAATAGTGGTCATTCTTGCTTTGTTCTTGGTCTTATTAGCAGTATTCCTAGTGTTCCCCAATTACATAACATACTGCCTTTCAGACTATTTAGTACTATATATATATTCATGTTTATTTAGCATAAGTCTTAAAATACTTATTTCTTAATTACTATTTCTTGAATTTTTTAAATATAATGAATGGATATTGAATTTTTTCAAAGGTTTTCTGAGGATCTCTGGAGAAGAAAATTTCTATAGCTAAAGTCTGTTTTTCGGGGGAGCAGGGGGAATGTTTGCTTTATAGAAATTAATGTATCTGTATTTAGTAATACAAGAAAAGAGTTTCAGTTTAAAGGCAAAAGGCCATTCTTTAATTAGGGTTGCCACATTTAGCAAACAAAATCTGTCTGAAAGCCTAGTTGGATTGTTTTATGTATTTGAGATTCTGAAGTGCTAGTAGGGAGAAACAATAGTCTTTCAGTGTGAAAGAAGTGCTGAGGCTCACAGAAGCTGATGGCTTTCTCAAAGTCATCTAGCAACTCAAGTGACTATTGGATCTGAGGTCAGCCTTGGACATTTAGTTCTATGTTGTGTTGTCTGCCACCAAATTTTTAAATTAAAAAAAGTAATTTTTTTAGCCTGCCAAATGATGGATAAGTCTATTAAAAGTAATTACAGTAGTTGGGTGTGAGCAGTGTTGCTACTATCTTTTTAATTCATCTCTAAAGTTTACATTACAAAATAATACTCCACAGTGCTGACTGAATGTTAACAGTTACTTAACAATATTGCTTTGTCTGCCTATACTGATGAAGTCTTTGGAAAGTTTATTTTCTTCCATTTAAAATTTTTAAATATGAAAATACTTTCAGAGTGAAATAATTTCTAGCTTAGAGTGAAATAATTTCTTTATGTGCATTCTCTTTTAGCTAGAAGCAAAAGAATATTCCATCTGGTAGATATGTGTGTGTATGTATGTGTGAATGTATGTGTGTAAACATCTTAAACCTCTGTGTGGAATATTTGTTGAGCATTTAGTAGGTATTCAGTTCTATTAACAGCCAACACCACTGGAAACATTCATCAGAGAGCTACTTTTGCTTTCAGCATAAAGGTTGAGTGCAGTCTCTGGAGGCAGCAGTCACACCTATGATCCACCTCATACACACAGTATGTCACTTAATCTCACTGTTCTTGGGTGTTATCCCCTGTGAAGTGGGAAGTTCTATTGATGCTCACTTTACAAGGTTGTTGCGGTTAAATTATAACATAGGTCATGTGCATACAGCAGTGCCCAGCTTGTATTCATAAAAGGTAACACATATAGTGCTTATTGTTATTATTCAGATTCACGTATTTCATAGTATCATAAACAAAAGCAGCTTGAGATAGCAGAATGTGAGACATTTGAAAAAAGATTTTCATCTTATCAGTATCCATTAGGTTTTCTATTAAGTAGATAATGCTTACTTCCTGACTAATATAACCCAAATTTGTGCAGTGTATAAAAAATTAGAATTGTTACGCTAAAGTATAGGATCTGCCTTTATATTTTTGTTAGGGCCAGAAAGTTACTAAAACATACTCTTAAAAAGTAAAAGGATTAGATTTCATCTACTTTTCACCATGATTTTTTCCTATGATTCTGTAAATTTTAACTGAGCACCTCATATTCAATTTAGAAGTGTGTTTAATTTATAAGTACATTTAGTTATTTAATGAAATTGGTGTTTTGGAGATGCTATTGAATTTCTCAACAGTTCATTTTATCGTCTTTCCCCTAAGGTATTCCCATCTGTCAGCAGCATTTAATTTGGAATAACATGGAACTTGAAGATGATTATTGCTTGAATGATTACAAGTGAGTGCAGTTGCATATTAGCTGCTCTATACCATTCAGTATTATGACTCCATATACCGGTATTTTTCTTCTGAATCCCTGGGTCATATCTCTCCTGAATAACTCTGATTCTAGATTTCATTATGAGTTCTCAACTGTAGATGTGTTTGCTTGGTAACCCATCTTTGTCCTCTGATACTTGTACTTTACCTTTTAAATTTTCATGTTTAACTGTCCCGTCTTTTGCATCTTCCTGTTTACATCTTGTCTTCATTGCTTCTTTCTTTGAATATTGGCCTATTCCCATGTATCCATCTTCCTTTTATTTCTGTTTTCACAAGAGTTTGGGGCCTGAGAGAATTGCTTTCCCCCAAGAGTTTTCTCATTAAGCATTACCAAGTGACAACATGTACACCAGTGATTACCAATACACTTCTTGACTTTCTCTGTCTTCTCACACAATTTATTACTCTTTTCCTAAGAAGGGTAGGAGGTGGCGTGGAATAGTACTGGGATTTGGGAGACTTGGTATATTTGCTGTTTTTCTGTTTGAATAGATCTGCTATTTTCTAAAACACTGGGTGTTGGGCAAGCCTCTTTTCTTCCCTGGGCTTCCTTTTCATTATGCATTAAACCACAGGATCACAGAGGTCCTGTAACAGTACTTTTTTTCTGGGATTTCACATAATATTTAAGGCTTGTGAGAGCTTTTAAAATTTCATTATTTAAGTGAATACATTAGCATCTTACATTAACTCATATTGCTGTATTTCTTTACATTTTAAAGAGTAGGTACTATGCCTAATAAACCAGCACTAATTAGTGTTTCATTTAACACTGAATGTATTTTGATGATTAGAGTTTATTTTTGTGTTAATTATTCACAGCATTTCAGAAGGTTGTACATTGAAGCTGGTTTTGGCTATGCGTGGTGGACCTATAAATACAAGAAAAGGTAAGGTATATTATTAAAGCTATTTAATAATCATATTATTCGAGCAATTTGACAATAGCATTCTTCAAGTCAGTTAATGTTTTTATAGCCTCCAGTTTGTTAAGCTGCCTTTCTATAATTAGGTCATAAAAAGGCTGGAACTCTAAAATATATTTCAGATTCAGTCCAAGTAGAAATAAAAAATAAGCCTTATCAGTATATGGAAGGAAAAATGGAATGGCATAGTGTAAATACTATGTTATTATTGTGTTCAGGTTCATATCAGTCTTGAAGCTTTTTTAATCTCTTGAGTCTTCAATTTCTATAATAATGTTGCTATGGAAAATTTCCAAATTGCCTGTTTACCTGATGTGATGCACTGGATTTCATGGATATTTTCATGATCCTGTTGAATCTTCTCAGAATGTGGGTGGGCTCTGGAGTCCATTCATTCATTATTCATTCAACAGAATGCAGAGTGAGCATCTACTGGATGTTGAGTGCCATGTCCCAAATACAATAAACATGGGAGACAAAGTCTTGGCTTCATGACCTCCAGTATGCCTCTAATAAATGTGCAAAGGACTGATGTAACTTCAAATGGTTGTAGTGCTATTCAGGAAATAGACCGGATAATGTGATAAGGTCTGTGGAAGTAGGATAGTAGGAGGGGCCTTGGAAAAGATGGCATGGGTGGAGATTTGATTAACAAGAAGGTTCCAAATACAGGAAGAGCTGAGAGTGTTTTCATCGGCCTCTAATTCAGGTGTGTCACATGAATCTCCACCAAGCAGAGGCAACTACTCAGAGCATCCCTGCTCTTTGGAGCTCATTTTGGGGAAACCCTTCAGATTTGCTTGATACTTCACAAACCAGATAACCAAAGGTTATAACTATGGATTCCACTGTTTGTTTGCTTCCTCATGTCAAATAATATCCCTATGTTTAATAATTTTGGTTTAAAAGTAGGATTATTGCCGTATTTTTACGTAACTAAGAGCTGTTGAACTATTTTTCATATATTCAAGAAAATGAAGGTAATGTTAGAGCTGATTAACCAGCACTCCTGACATCAAGGACTTTCTGATCATTAGAATGAAATTGTTTTATCTGATAATTGGTAATGTGCATAGTAATGACTCTAAGGGTATTGTAAGAACCCTAAGTGTCTGCTAAGCCATCATTTAAGATCAAATTACATAGTGTTTAAAGGCATGTGATTTAACGCATTCTGTTGTGTTAAATTTTTAAAGCTGGCTATTTATTTATGTTTTATAACGTCTTTAAACCAGAGTGTTTAATTAGGGCACATCTACTTTTTCTTACTAGGTCTAAAATAATTTGATCTGTTTATGAGGATGAGTGTCAACTGTCTGTAGTTACTGAGTTCTGTATGTGTGTGTGTATGTGTATATTGTATATGTATATGAACATATATGTATGTATATTTTATGTACATATATATTTAAATGAAAATGAGAGTTGTCACTACCTTTGGTAGTTGAAGCTTTGAAATAAAAGCTTCTTCATAATATTTTTTCCTACAACTTTCTGTGCCATGTTTGTTAATTGAAAAATCAGCAACTAGAACTTACCTTTTCATTTATTTAAAATTAAGTTTTTTATAATTTTGGCTTTATCGAATCAACATTTTTAAAATTAAAAGTTTGATGTTGCTCACCACGTCATTAAAAACTTTGTGAAAAAGAAAAACTGGACCCAGATTTAGGGATCTCCATACTATATTTGAGAAAACAAGTTTTTAAAGCTAATTTAGATGTATTATTTCAAACTTATCACTTAGAAAGTACCTTTTTCATGTGAGCTCTAGTAGTACTTTGCTTTTAAAATCATTTTTGCAATAGCCATTGTCAAAACAGCATGGGATGCTGGGCATGGTGGAGCATGTGATGGTCCAGCACTTGGGATGCTGGGGCAGGAGGATCTGAGTTAAAGCCCAGCCTGGACTACAGAGTGAGACCTTGTTTCAAAAAAAAGAAAAACAGTCAAACAAGCAAGCAACATAGGCACAAACACTTTCCTTTCTAAAATTAAATCATATCATAAACTCTTTATGCATTGTTTTTAGCTGATAAAATCTAAATGACTTTTCATGCACACAAAAAGATGTGCACACACAGGCAACCTCTGCACCAACCTGAGGAAGGCACCCTATACTGAGTTAAGAAAGGCTTTCATGTGGCTGTAGTACTGGCAGTAGCAATGCCTAAAACAATTGGTGCCATAATTTTGACTTCCTAGTAATGTAATGTGGAACGTGGAACATAAACTTTTAACAGGGGCTCTGAGTATATGAGGTGTACCTGTAATCCCAGCACTTGGGAGTCTGAGGCAGAATGATTTAGAGTTCAAGGCCAGCCTGGGCTATATAGGTGTCTCAAAGTAATTTTTCATTACTTGAAAAATGTCTTCCAGTATTTATACATTTTATGCCTGTGAAAGAGCAATCAAAACAAATAATTATTTTTGTAAACTAAACAATCTTAATTTCTGTGATTTTTGTTTTAGTAGTAGTAGCATTAATTTTAGAATATGAACACCTGATGTTTTTACCATGTTCCTTTTAGAGTTTAGTATTTTTCTGTTGGTGCTACTTCTTTTTAAGTCAGTAGAGCACTCTGATTCTGTTAACAAGTAGATGAAAGTTATGCAGCTGGGAAAAATATTTCTATAGCATGACATGAGAATGTCTTTGGGAGAGAACTTTTTTCTCCAAACTGTTTACTTAGATTTCAAAGTCAGGTTCAGAGCTTCTGGAACATTTATCCTATAGCCAATAATCTTTTGAAGCACATCCCCCACCACCTTGGTAAAGTCAGTGGCTGCACCAGGATATAATGGTGGCTGCAACACCTTTGTTGTCCAAGGACAAAACCAGACCACTGGAGCCTGTCAGTTGTGGGGGTTTCAGAGTTGCACCAGTTAGCCTGTGTACCTCTGTGTGCTCTGACTGTGCACATGGACACCTACCAGAACAACTGGGGTCTGGGAAGGAGTGTTTCCAGAAACAGCATACAGAAACATTGCAGTTTTAGTATGCTAAGTGGCCTCCTCATGTTCTGAGCTACAGTGTACTTTTGACTACCTAACTTCACAAGAAAGAACAACTCTTAAGAAGAATCAGCTGTTATATAATCTTGCCTTTTTTTCCCCACCCTGGGAATCAAGTCCAGGGCCTTGGGCATGCTAGACAAAATGCTGTACCATTGAACTGTACGCCGCCAGCCCTGCCGCCTTGCTTCTCATTTCTTAATATGTCTCCTAACTGTGTGTGTTTTGACCTAAAGTAAGTAGTATTTATGCTTTTTTGTTTTTTATTTTTTCTCTTTTTATGCTGTTTTTAAATTATTGATTGATGGAGTCAGTAATTGAGAATAGAGGAAGCAGAATATGTTAAGTGAAAATGACCACAGATAATAACCAGCAAACATATAGACTCTAATGGCATAGGGAAAAAAAGCCCTGTATTTGGACACAGCAATATAATGATGCAATTTTTCTTTCACTTGAATACAATTTAGAGAATGCTGTGTTACTATAAAAACTACAAAAAGAATAGAAAGGAGGATATCGTGTATTTATTATATGTTCAGGGTGGTTGTTCAATTATAGTGCATTATATCCTGTTACTGTACCAAGATGCACAAACATTGATGTGAATTGAAATCTTATTTATCAATTTTTCCATTTGTAGTTCCTATGGAAGATCCACTTAGGCAGATGGCTGAGTTCATGGATTCCAGTCGAGATGAGGTCTGGGAGAAGACTTGCAACAAACAAGTTACATTTTTGGTTTATCGAGAAGGAGATCAGTTGAATTTCTTTCGTGTAGTAGATAGGGGAGATGGCACTTTAACACCATTATCTGAATCTTTAAGGTAAATAGGTTTTCATTTGCATTTCTCTGTTAGAAAAGGAGAATATCGTATGATCTGCTTCATAAATCTTCGTTTACCTGTCAAAATAATCTAGTATATTAACAAGACTGACTAAACTTCATGCATTTCTCCCCATGCCCTCCCTCAATATGTAATTCTGAAATTATCCTTCATGTGATTGATATTTAGAGTAGTTTCTAATGTTGAAGTTTCTTTATATGGTAAGGTTTTTTTTCATAACAAAGTTTTGTTTCTGTTACTTTTGTGAAACTCTTAAGATGCCTACTAGATTCTAGAGTCTTGCAAAAAAGTATGTTATTACTGTGGCATAACAGGAAGGGTAAACTTAAAGCTGGTATCTTTTTTTCATATTTAACTCTGATACTTAAAGATGAAAGATAGGTAAATTTCTTTGGTTCTTTGCTTTTGTTTTACTATTCTTTAAAAGGGAAAGAAATTGTAATATTCTAAAATCAGAAGGGAAAATCCTACAGATACTTATGAGCCAGTAGAAAAATGAGAATTAGACAAGATAACTTCTAAGTTTCTATATATCCCAATTTACTATGAGTCTTTTTCTCCTTTAACTCATTAAATGTTTACTGAGCTTTTATTGTTAGTCATCAAGGTAGGCACTGGTATTATAAATATGATGTCCCCACCTTCATGGAGCATGCAATCTGCTATTAGTAGTATTGGTGCCATAATGCTGGTGGTGTTATAAAAAGGTATCATGATCTCTGGGAAAACATGAGAGCCTTCGTTTTACCTGAAAGGTAGTGAGTTAGGGACAGCCTCTGAGAAGTGACCTTAAAAGAGGAGCAAGGTTTTGCCAAACAGACAAAAGAAGGAAAAGTATTACAGGTAACTTAATTGAAACCTACAAAATAAGTAAAAGTCTAGTGATAAAACTATTCAGAGGAAAAAGAGCTTGTCTGGAGAGCAGCTCTGGGAAGTCTAGGCAGTGCAACTAGTGCTCTGCTCAGTGTCCCACAGGCTGTCAGCAAGAATATATTCTAATTTGGAGGCTTGATTTAAGGAAGCGAATCTGCTTTCACATTTATATTCATTGTTGGCATAATTCATTCATTTCTTCCAACTTAAATGACAAAAGGCTTTGTTTTTTTTGCTGGCTGTTGGCTAGAAGCTCTTCACAGCTTCCTTTTGATATACTCAAAATGAATGCAAAATGAATTACTTCTGCAAAATCCCTTTACTTTTGTCATATTCAGTTAGCTAGAAGCCAGTCATAGGTAATGCCCACACTAAAGGGCAAATTATCCTAGGTATGAACACCAAAGGTATGGAATCATAGACATTCCCTTAGGATTTTGCCCACCACAGAATGTATGTGGCAGAGAGCTTGCACTCGTTTTTTTTTTTGTGTGTGTGGCCACAGATTGCTAACTGTAACAAATGCATAGTGACTGTTCTCTACTGTGTTTAGGAACATAACAAGAGAAACAAATTTCCACAAAATTATTATAAAATTCAAAATAGAATAATTGAATACATTTTAATTATATTGGTCTGTTTATATAAGGAGAATGAAATTCAGATTGGGGGGCATGACTTAAATGGTAGAACACTTTCCTATCTAATGTAAGACCTGGAGTTCAATCCCTAGTACCACAAAAAAAAAAAAAAAAAAGAAGAAAAAGAAAAATAGAATTCTTTTTTATGGGAGTATTTTACATGATTGTGGTTGAAAGTTAGTGCTGCCCATCAAATTTGCAAGGTCAGTTGTACAAGCTCACCACTTAATGGTGACTTGTAATACGAGTTTAATGTACTTTATCTTTGAAAGTTTTCTTCACACAGATAAGTATTGCCAAGCATTGATGTCAGTGCAGCATATGACTTTAATTGAGCATATTCATCCTTGGAAGACATTTATAGAGTTCTATTAGATTTTCTCTTGATGTTTTTCTGTAGCATGTCATTGTATTGCAGATTAATCACCTCCAGTTGAAGACAGGTGGAAGCTTCTCCATTGCACATTGCAATGGATGTCAGAATACGGACATTTCCTTTAAACTTGCATGGAGGTATGAAAACCTCTACTAGACCTATAGATTGAGCACAGAAAAATATATTGTTGCAAATTTATGTGGGAATGGAGATCTTTGTTTAGATTTTTGAAAGCACAGGCAGCATTGCAGCTTCTTATTGCATGTGATTCAAGCAGTACTCGTCGATTTAAATATAAATTTCACATATAAGTATTATTTTGTAATTTTAGGTTGATTGTTAAGAAACATTATCAAGTCCAAACTAAAAACTACTTTCCAAAGGCATTCAGTATTCAGTGTTTGATATTAATGGTTGAGAACATTTCTCAGAGTCCCTGAGCTAAAAAAAAAAAAAAATTGTGATTAAACCCAGGGGTGTAGCTAAGTGGTACAGTGCAACTCATCATGTGTGAGTCCATAGCTTCAATCCCCAACACCAAAACAACAAAAAAAATTGTCATGATTATTGTGACTCTCTGATGCTCACTGAGGGCTCATGTGTTGGAGCTTAATTGTTGGCTGATTTGCTTTTGGAAGTGTTGTTTTTGTTTTTGTTTTCTTGAGGGCATTGACTAACCAATGAATTAATTCCTTGATGATAATATTGGAACATGGGGCCTGGTTGGGAAAGTGGGCCACTAGGAGTGTGTCCTGGAACAATATACGTTGTCCCTTGTCCCTGGTCCCTTCCTGCCTCTCTCTTTGCTTTCCTGCTGCCAGGAGGTGATTAATTTTGCTCTACCACATGCTCCCAACCATGATATTCTGCCTCACTGTGGCCCTGGAAGAATGGAATTAAGTGCCCATGGATTGAAACCACTAAAACCATAAGCCAAAATAAATTTTTCCTCCATCTAAGTTGTTTCTCTCAGGTATTTATCGCAGCAATGGAAAAACTAACACAGTGATAAAACTTTGCTACCATTAAGCCATCAAAATGATGATGGAGAAATACATGAGACAAATGAAGTTTGCTATTGACACTACTGGTTTGATACTGTATGATAAGTTCAAATATTTATCAAATGTGTATTATGAAGAGGGACAAGATGGCACATTAGAAGCATATCCAGTAAATATTCGAATCTGTCATGCGTTATTGAACTAGTAACATCAGCAGTAAATTTCATTTGTTGGAATCAGAACTCCTAGAGAGTACCTGCTCAATGAGGTAGGTGACTGAGAACATGCTGAAGTTCAACAGTAGAGTCTTGGAGAATCTCAGAGACTCTAAAGAGGAGCAAAGTAAGAGGGAGTGCCTCAGCACTGAGAATGTGGCAGCACAGACCTGGTAAGCACAACTAACATAGAAATGGGCACAAAGCAGAAGGGCAGTCTGAATACAGTTGTTTGGGATCTGCAAAATGGACTGGTGCAAGAGAAATTCCCTGCACTTCCCAACATATATTCATTAGTGTCTAATGGGGAGCCATCTTGAGAAGGGAAGGTGGGAACTTGAGATTTTGAGAAACAAAGCCCTTACATTTTCCTGTCCCCTGGAACCCTTTAAACATTACTACATTCTCTGGACAACTGCCTTATGACCCAGTTTGATCCCAGAAGAGTGCCACTGAAACAACTCACTGAAAACTTTATGCCACTGAAAACTGTATGTATGTATCAATCTAGCTATGTATCTCTATCTAGCATATGTATGCATGCATTTATCCATCCATTTCTTTTTTTAGTCTTTTAATATTCAAAATTTTATGCTTTACATTACTGCTTTCATTTTCTACCTTTTTCCTGCTTTCTTTTTTCTAGTTTTGAATTTTTTCTTTTTATTGTGCATGCTAGGTAAATGCTCCACTACTGAGCTACATCTCTAGCTCTCTTTTTGAATATTATAAGTTTTCTTTTTCCAAAACTTTTCCCTTTTTTTCATTTTTTAAGTAATGCTTTTAAGTTGAGTTCAGCTTTGTTTTCTTTTTTATTAGCATATATTAATTGTACAAAGGGGTTTCATTATGGCATTTTTGTACATGCCTGTGATCATATTTACATCCCCCTTTTCCTTGCCATTTTAATGATTTTCATTATTTGCATGTTTGCATAAAATACACTTTGATCAAATTCAGCCCCCATCATCTTCTCTTTTTGCCTCGCCCTTCAGAAGGATTTCCCCCAAAGTCCCCCTTTTATATTAATGTCATTTTTATTTAGGTCTAGGTTCTACATCTGAGACAAAACATACAATGTTTGTTTTTCTGGGTCTGGCTTATTTTCCTTAAAATGATGCTTTCTAGTTCCATCCATTTTTCTGTAAATTACATAGTTTCATTCTTTATGGCTAAGTAAGAATCCATTGGGTATATATACCACATTTTCTTTATACGTGCTTTAGTTGAAGGGCATCTAGGCTGACTCCATAGCTTGGCTTTTGTGAATAGAGCTGCAGTAAACATGGGTGCTCTGGTATCTTTCTTGTATGTTGATTTACACTCCTAAGAAAATATGCCCAGGAGTGGCATAGCAGGGTCATAAGGTAGTTCTATTTTTCGTTTTTTGAAGACCCTCCATACTGCTTTCCATAGTGGCTGCAGTTTACATTCCATGAAACAGTGGATAAGGGATCCTTTTCCACCTTTCATTCTCACTAGCGTTTGGTTGTTCTCTTCATGGTAGACATTCTGACTGGGATGAGATGGAATTTCAGTGATGTTTTGCTTTGCATTTCCTTTATGAATAAGGATGTTGAACATTTCTTTATGTATTTGTTAACCATTAGTACTTCTTTTGAAGCAGTTCATTTGCTTATTTACTGATAGGATTATTTGTTCTTTTGGTGTTTGATTTTTGAGTTCTTTGTATATTATTGGTATTACCATTGTCAAATGATTAATTGGCAAAGGTTTTCTCTCATTCTTTAGGTTATCTCTTCATTCTGGTAATTGTTTCCTTTGCTGTGCAGAAGCATTTTAATTTGATGCAGTCGCATTTGTCAATTCTTGTTCTTATTTCTTGAGCTGCTGGAGTCTTATATGCCTGTATCTACAAGTGTTTCCCTATAGTAGGCCTTTTATGCTCCCATATGAACTTTAGGATTGATTTTTGTATTTTTGAGAAGAATGTCTTT